AGACATGTTAGAAAGTTAAGATCGAAGAGCATTGCTTCAGTAAAGTACAGTGGAGGGGCCATCCGGTTGAGGAGGCGACTTGGGAAACCGAGCATGATATGCGCAGTTGTTATCCCCATCTTTTCACCACTCTAGGTATAATTCTAAACTCGTTCGAGGACGAACGCTATTTAAGAGGGGGAGGAGGTAACGACTCGGCCAGTCATTTTGAGAGTTGTAGCTCTGCTCCCCCATTTGCTGCTCATTTTGTACTTTATAGCTATTATATGACTTGCCTGGGTAGTCGGTTCGGGTTCGGAGAGATTTCAGAACGAATTGAGACACTTAGTCTCAAGGATGAAAACTTAAGTTGAAATGGTTGACCGGATGTTGACTTATGTGTAAACGACCCCAGAATAGAATTTTGATGATTCCAATAGCTCTGCATGGTGATTTTGGACTCCGTAGTTAAATTAGGCTTGAAATGGCTAAAATAAAAATTTAAGCTTGTAAGTTTGACCGGGGAGTTGAATTTTTGATATCGGGGTCAGAACCCGATTTTGAATATTTGAATAGGTCAGTTATGTCATTTATGACTTGTGTGCAAAATTTGAGGTCAATCGGACTTGATTTGATAGGTTTCAGGATCGAATGTAGAAGTTTGAAATTTCTTAGTTTCATTAGGCTTGAATTGGGGTATGATTCGTGGTCTTGGCGTTGTTTAATGTGATTTGAGATTTCAACTAAGTTCTATGTTGTCTTAAGACTTGTTGATGTATTTGGTTGAGGTCCCTGGGGCCTCGGGTGAGTTTCAGATGGCTAACAGATTAAAATTTGGACTTAAACAGCTGCTGGAAATTTTGGCCTTCTTGTGCAATAGCACCTGTAGAATTTAGCTCGCAGAAGCGACCAGGCGTGGGTTGAGGCCGAGGTCACATAAGCGACCAGACATGGGTTGAGGCCGAGGTCGCAGAAGCGAGCAGATGGTCCGAAGAAACGACAAGGCGTGGATTGAGGCTGAGGTCGCAGAAGCGACCAAACATGGGTTGAGGCCGAGGTCGCAGAAGCGATTGTTCGACCGCAGAAACGGCTAAGTTAGTCGCAGGGGCGAAAAGCCGTGGACAAATATATAATTCAGGGGTTGGCCATTTTTTACCCATTTTTGGATTTTAAGAGCTCGGTTGAGGCGATTTTCGGGAGATTTTTCAAGGAAAATATTGGGTTAAGTGTTTTTATCTCAATTTTGGTCAAATCACCCGAATCCATGGTTGTTTTTAACATATAATTGGTGATTTAAGTTGGAAGATTTAGAAACTCCTCTTGGTTTAAATTAAAGATTTGAGGGTCGAGTTGATATCAGAATTTAGTAAATTTGGTATGGTTGGACTCGTGGTTGAACGAGCATTCATATTTTATAACTTTTGTCGGGTTTTGAGACGTAGACCCCGCTGGCAATTTTTGAGTTAATTTTAGATTTTTGTTGGAAAATTAGTATTTTTTTTATGGAACTAATTCCAATAATTTGTATTGACTAAATCGAATTAACTGTGACTAGATACGAGGCTTTCGGAGGCCAATTTATGAGGCAAAGGTATAGCGGAGTAAAGAATTACCCGGTTCGAGGTAAGTGACTTGTCTAACTTTGTATGGGAAAAATTACCCTTAGGATTGGTATTGATATGAACATTGTGATGTGTTGAAAGTCGTGTGCGCGTGGTGACGATTGTATACACGGGCTAAATATGGAAGATTATATCTTTAAATTGTGTAGATCTCTGTTACATAGTAATTAAATTATCTTATCCTGTTATATTTATCATTATTGGTTTATTTTTATATTTTAAATTTACCTTACCTTTTTTCTGCTAGTTGCTTTACCTGTTTAGTTGAAATTTTGTTTCTTTTATTCTGTGCTCATTATTTGAAAGTTGAATTTCTTAATTGAATTATTATTAATATGAAGTATTTGACATTAAAAATTTGGTATTGAGGCAAGGTGTGTTAAATTTGTCAAATATTATTTTTGTTGAGTTATTCACTTTCGAATATTTTGTGAGATTTTGTATTCATTGTGATTGAGCCATGAGCTCCTTATTGCTGAAATAATGTTGTTGTTGATTTATTTTGGCAAGTTAAAATATTTGGGCACTTGAGGTGCAAATTGTGATATTGATATGCATGCGGTGGTATAAGGTCTGGTGTTGAAACGCATGCGGTGAGATAAGGGTGGCTTGATACGCGTGGCTAGTAGGGGAACTGCTAGAAGTCATGCGGTCTGATAAGGGTGGCTAAAACGCGGGATGCTATTTCGGAAAAAAATATTCTTTAAAATTAAATGTGAAGGCTCCCGCGGTGATATAAGGAAATGAGATATTATGAATTTATTTATGATTTGGGACTACGAGGCGGTACCTCGGGAGTGCCCTTGTTGATATTTCTTTATGGTTGCATTTGCCTTTGGTTATTTTTGTATGTTTTCTTAAAGTTGTAAATTTCTGTTTTCCTTCCGCGAGGTATTATTTGCCCTTATTCTGTGTAGTTAAATTGTGACATACTCCTTACATGGTTCATTCCCATTATTATTATTATTATTATTATTATTATTATTATTATTATTATTATTATTATTATTATTATTATTATTATTATTATTATTAAACTTTTCACCCTGTGTGTTATTATTCCAGTAGGGCCTGACCTGATCTCGTCACTACTCTACCGAGGTTAGGCTTGGCACTTACTAGGTACCGCTGTGGTATACTCATACTATGCTTCTGCACATCTTTTTGTGCAGATCCAGGTACTTCCTACCAGATTAGGTATCAGTGAGCTAGATTGTACGCGGAGACTTCAAGGTATATCTGCCATCGCCTGCAGACCTCGGAGTCCCCCTTCTATCCCTATTATGTTATTTTTTTCTTATTCTCTTTAGACTCTGATGTATTGTCACGACCCGAAATTCCCACCTTCGGGACCGTGATGACGCCTAACATTTCACTTGCTAGGCAAGCCAACGTTAGAATAATATTAGCCATTTTTAAATAATTTTTAAATTAATTCATAACAAAGAAACAAATGCGGAAATAAATTCTGAAATAAAGTGAATAATCCATAATAATAGCGATGTCTAAATATCATCTCAGAACTGGTGTCACAAGTGCACGAACTACTAGAAAAATACAAATAAAGGTCTGAATGAAAATAAAGTTGTCTGAAAGAAATACACAACTACGATAAAGTGGAAGGGGACTTCAGAACTACGAACACCATGCAGCTATACCTCAAGTCTCCTGCGATAGCTGAATCCGAGCAAATCTACTGTATGCCGCTAGAACCAACTCTGGTATCTGCACAAGAAGTGCAGAGTGTAGTATGAGTACAACCGACTCCATGTACCTAGTAAGTGCCGAGCCTAACCTCGACGAAGTAGTAACGAGGCTAAGGCAGGTCACTTACGAGAAAAAAAGTAAAGGGATGAAGAAAAGTAAGGTTGCACCAAGAGTGTGGACTAATGGACAAAGATATAGGTGTAAACTTTGAAATCAGGATTCAACTCTAAGCAAAAATTAAAAAAATATTAGATAATTTCTTTTCATTTGTCTGACTTTTAGTGGATACAGTAACCTAATATCTATGCTGGTAAAAAATAACAGATACTCAGTGATATAATTGAGATGCATGCTAACAGCCCGGATTCCACCAAAAGAGATAAGAGATACCTTGTACTGCAAGGGTAGAGCTAGAATACATGTTATATGTTTGGTCCAAATTTTATATCTGTCTTAAAAAAATTACCGAATATATATAAATTATTACTTTAAAATTTAAGTAATTTAAAAATATCAAATTTTCAACCGATAAACTTTAAATCCTCACTTCGTAAATATTCTACCAAAGAAGAGAAGAGGAAGAATATATGATAGGCACTTTGAACGAACTTCTCCGAAAATAAAGTGCCATGACACATCCCATATGCAAAGCGGGTTACTTGTATTTGTTGTTGGGGATAAAATAACATATTATTTAATCACGGAGTGACTTTTAGGTCATTCTGTGACCACACAAACAAAAAATCCTATTGGTGGAAGTTATTGGCAAATATTAACGGAAGAAGAGATAAAAGAAGAAAAAACTTTTGGGGTAATCCAAACGCCACAGTTAGGAGGTCCTTTAGTATGAAGGATAAAGAAAATTAAATTTTATTTTTTTTAATTATTACCAAGGGTTTATTCGAAACAGTTTTCCTATCTGCATAAGGTAGGGTAAAGTCTACATATTGTAAAAATATATTGGATGTGTTGTTGTTGTTGTTGTTGTTGTTGTTATTTTTTCCATTATTATTTTATAATATTTAACTTCTAATAAAATATTTATACTATCGTTCAATAATATAATCTTAGCATAATTAATTGAACATTTCGTTTCCAATATTAAACTCTTTCTCTCTATATATAGTTTTGAAACTTTATGCAATTTTAATATAAAATAAATCATATATAATTTTAGTTTATTTTACATCAGAAAGAATAACTTAATAAAAATATGGATGTTAACATTCAACGTTAATTGCCTTACGAGATCGATTATATAAAATCTCACCAATCATGTTATCATTAAAATTCAAATTTAAAAACAAATTTATTTTTAAAGAAAACAATTTTACTTAATAATAATTATATTATTAAAAATCATGTACTATAATTCACCATATAATACTACCACATTATTATTCATATTTTTCATGCATTATTTATTCATACCTACAAAAAATAATTCACTCAATCAGGCACCTGGCGCGTGTTGGTACTCGCCATAACTCCAGAACAAGAAATAAAACGGCGCCGACTCAATCAACGCTATTAAATTTATTTCCTGAAACGAGATTATTAAAATTTTCAAAATTCGAAAAACTGTTCAAAATTTGAGCGAACATTACTCCGACACGTCATCATCCACCTCAGCAAGTCCCTACTTTTTCATATAAATACCGCCTTACCCCTTTAAATTTGTAGTCTTTTCATTCTCATCGAAGAGTCAAAGGAGCAGCTTCGCAACTCAGCTGCAGCCTTTTCAAAATTTCAACATTAGGGTTTCAAAAAGATTTCTTCATCTTCTTCAGACTATCAAATCCCAAAGAAGTTTTGGTTAGCTGTGTTTCAGATCGGTTTCTGTAAACTTCTGGTAAAGCGTTAACGGAAGATAAACATAAATTTGCGGCGAAGTTTTATTTATTTATTTGATCTGTTTATTTTAGCTATTTTTGGCGTTAAACTGCCTTCTGATTGTATTTCGTTGTTTAAAGCTCGTTTTTAGATCTGGGTTTCTGTTAATTTAGTGTTTGTTCAATAAATTTGAATTGAGTTTTGTGTCTGGAGTAAAAATTAGGCCTTTTTAATCGGATAAGTGCTTGGTTTTAGATGTGGGTTTTGATTGTTTTTAGGATTTATTCAGTAAATTGGATTTGTTTTTTGTATGTTGAAGTCGAAATTAGGGCTTTTAAATTGGAATGGTGTTTGAGGTCAAACTAGGACCTTTTCCAATAGGATATGTGCTTGAATTCACTGTTTTGAGCTGAATCTTGTCAAAGATTTTAGCTTTGTTCACTTAATTGGAATTGGGTTTTGGTTTTGTTTCTAACTTGGGTTTTTCTTTTAATTGATGGATTGCTTGAGATCAATGTTCTGAGCTGAAGTTTGTTTGAGGATTATGGTCGTTTAAGTATTAATTATTAAAGTGAAATTGGATATGTTTGAATTCAAAGTAGCGGTTTTAAATAGAAGAAGTGCTTCAGCTAATGTTTCAAGCTGAAATATGTTGCGAAGTTGTGAGCTTGTTGGCGAAGGAAAGTGAGAAATGCTAATAGATTGTTGATTGTATTTCTTCTGATCCGATCATTACTTATAGCCACTGGGTTTTATGTTGATGACTGTAATTACACATGATATGATTGTTAGTGATTTATTCTTTTCTGTGAATGTTGGTTGGTATGGGTTGTTTCCTGGTGGATGAATCTTGTTGGTTTTGATTATATTTACTTTATCATCTGCAGAACTGTTGGTAGATTAGTGAATTGGTATAGGAGATTGGTTTGACAACAGGAACTTGGAAACTTTAGATAAAGTAAATTTGTATACTAAATGTATTTGACACGAGTAACATAACAAGTTTTGTACTTTATATTCGGTGTATTGAGGAAGAAGAGTTTAAGTAGAGTAATGTGGTCAGTGAGGATTCATATAGCCGATCCAACTTGTTTGCGACTGAGGTGTAGTAGTTGTTGTTTTGAGGGAAAAGATAAACCTCTGGCGTGCAAGTAAATGATATACCCAAATGGAACAGTATCAATATGACAGATAAAGATTGATTTAGAAATTTTTGTTGAGTTTTGATGCCTCAGTATGTTGTTGTAGACTTTCGGCTTTTGCTTATGGTGAGTCACATGTGAGGATGGATGCTCCCTTCGGTTTGGTCTGATGCTAGTGAAAACATGGGATAGTGTTCTATTCTGTTTCAACAGATTATCTCACCCAAATGCATTATGCCGAGGAGTTTGGTGGAAAATCAAACTTCTGTGTTGTTGCAAGATAGATTGCTGAGGGGAATTAATATCTCCTGATGGCTCTTGCAAGATAGATTGCTGTGAAAGACGTTACCATTTATTTTTATTTTATGTGCACCCTGAACCATACAATGTAAAATATTTGGTCAGGAGAGTGAAGATATATCTATTGGGTGTTACAATGTTGACGCATACTGCAGATGGTTTTTTCCAACGAGCACAATTTTACTTTGATTAGATGCAGCATGGTTTTTCATGGCTCTGGATAAATTCAGAAGGAGATGAATTCATTTTGCTTAAAGAGCCTTTTCACCTTGACAGTACTGGCTTCCCTTATGTTCTTTTCATGGTTTCACCTTGACAGTACTGGCTTCCCTTATGTTCTTTTCATGGTTCATGTTTTGCAAACTTAATGGCAATGTGGAACATTAATGTCCTGAGATATTCAAGGAGTGTTGAATACTAAAGCTGTGTGGTCCAGCGGTTTTATGCTGCAATCCGCTCTTCTTCAATTTTATGGAACTTTTCGTAAATACTTTTTTGGGTATATGGTCCAGAGATGATCGTATCAGATGGTGGATGCAAGTAGCATACATAGAGGATAAAATGAGAGTAGATAGCTTGAAATGGTTGTTCATGTCCCCACAAAGACCTCCAAGCATTGCTTCATTGGTGCGACACTATGGTGGTTGATGTACTAAAAAGGGATTTTATATACCTAAAATCCCATGAAGGATGGTTACACTAACATTCACTCCGGTAAATGCACATTTGGCACAATACAAGTAAATGATGGCAATACCTAACAGTTCAAATTTTGCTTTAGGTTTTTTTGTTGTACTTACATTAGATATGGTGCTTACCAGGTATCTATTTGCCTGGTTAGAAATTGTATCTCAGTATCGGGGTAACCGTGAGAAACAGATATCTTAGGTCTAGAACACTCTAATTGTTTTAAAAGAAAAATTGTTTACTAGTATTGGAATGGGGCAGACCCTAATAGAGAGGAGTTGATACATAGAATTCATGAGTTCCCATCTAATTTGGGATTTGAAGCTATGCTGATTGTTGACTGTTATATGATGTCATTTTTTAAAGTTGGTTTTACTTTTTTAGGGGTATGTTTTAGTTCTGGCTTAGTTTATGCTTTTGTCATACTTTAATTTTCAGTCACCAACTGTCATATGTGTCGTTAATTCCTGATGTGTTGGACTCTTTTTTAATTCTTGGTTTATATAATGACCTTCAAATACACCCACAAATTCTATTATCCTTTATCACACTCCATGAACTTGTAGCTTGCATACACTTGTTATTTTTTCTATATCGGTAGGAAGATTTTTCTTGGATTTTTACTTTCAGCACCTCTTACATTATCTTTTGTCCTTTGACAGTTGTTCTATATTCATATAGAAACTAAACATGCCTAAAGAGAGAAGAGATAGATCTGTTTCTTTTGATAGGAGTAGAGCTTCTCCTTACCCTTGTAGCTCGAGTCACTCAAAACAACCGTCATCCAAAAACCCTTTGGAAAACGACGAAAATGTGAAAGACTGGGAAGATGCCCGATGCCCAGTGTGTATGGAACATCCTCATAATGCTATTCTCCTTTTGTGCACTTCTCATGAGAAGGGCTGCCGTCCTTTTATGTGTGATACAAGCTATAGGCATTCAAATTGTTTTGACCAGTTCAAAAAGTCATTTGAAGAAGCTTCAGCATCAACAACACAGCAAGTGGAGATCCCAGCTTCAGCTTCTATCGCGGAATCTACCACAGTGATAACAGAAGCTCTGTCTGATCTGCCAGGTGAAAGAACTGAAGGTGGTTCTATATCCCTAGGTGCCTTGTCTTGCGAGAACCATGAAATGAAAAAGATGCAATGCCCTCTCTGCCGTGGCCAGATAAATGATTGGATTGTCGTGGACTCTGCCCGTCGTTACATGAATGCAAAACTAAGAAGCTGCTCTAGCGAGACATGCGAATTCAGTGGCACATATACAGATTTGCGTAAGCACGCTAGGCAGGAGCATCCACTTGTACGGCCTACAGAAACTGACCCAGAGAGGCAGCGTAATTGGAGGAGATTGGAGCGGCAGAGAGATTTAGGAGATTTACTCAGTACATTGCAGTCTTCTGTTGGAGAAGAGGGAAGTGAGAGCACCAGTTTAACCTTCGATGAGGGTGGTTTGCTGACTGTTTTCCTTTTTGTTCGGATTCTCCAACCTAGGAGTAATTCTGGTAGTAGTAGCTGGTCAGGCTCCTCAAGAACTCGGGCTCAAGCAACTGGTAGGAGACGACCTTCGAGAAGACTTTGGGGTGAGACCTATGATGGGGAAACTGAATCTAGAGACGACGACAATGAACAGTCTGATGGAGGATCAGGTCCCTGGAGGCGCCTTGGGAGATTACGTCGACGACCAACACCAGAGAATTAGTTGGGCCGCAAACATGTGTTTGCTTGCTGTTCCTCTTTGTTGCTACTGCTGTAGGTATATGCTACTATGGTTATAATTCATTTCTCTGCTTGTATACCTTTTTATTTTGGAAGTTTCAACAATTTGAAAGTGGTTTTTGGTGATCACTTTCAGGCGTAGAAAATGAAGGAGGAAACCTCGTCTTCCGAACTTTGTCGCGCTGAAGGAACAGTTGTTTCTTGGATTAGAAGGATTCGGGAGAGAGTCGAAATGGAAGAATTCTGTTTGGTTAATAGTATACATCTCTTTCTTGATGAATGTCATCTCAGCTTGTGTGTGCTGCAAATGCTTTAAATCTTTATTTTTAACTGAATTGATAAAGTTGGAAAGCAATTGCTATTTATGCTTCTAAATCTTATCAATAAATCTCATGCTGCAATTATATGGTTGTGCTTGCATTTTTCAACTTTGTGCTATAGCTTCAACCACAACAGTATGAATGAACACACTCTGATTTTAGCTCTTTAACAATAACAGCATGAACAATAGGTGAAAAACTCTTTTATTAGCTGTAAATTTAGGTGTATATCAACACTAAAACTAGAGCTAATGTAGGGTATCTAGGTCCTGTAGAAAGAGTTAGAGAGGATAAATATACTTCCATTCATTCCCAGTTCTTTAAAAAATAAAAGGGTAGTTCGGTGTACGAAACATCCTGCGTTCACGCAGGGTCTGGGGAAGAAATGCATCTCAAAGGGTGTGATATAGGCCGCCTACCTTAGTTGAGTTTATGGCTCGAACTCGTGACCTATATAGGTCAGATGGTGACAATTTTACCGTTGTTCCAAGGCGTCCTTCCATTCATTCCCAGTTCTTTGTGTAGGGTAATATGCAACCAGTGGCGAAGCCACACTATGCTAAGAGTGTTCAAGCGAATACCCTTTGTCGGTTAATTATACTGTGTATATAGGTTACATATGGCTATATATTATATTTTGAATACCCTTAACACAGTTGAGTGAAGTAATCTAGCGATTTAGGGTGTTTAAAGTGAGGTGTTATTCATGTGTTTAAATCCCTATCTAAACATTTTTATTTGATAATTTTGTTGGGGTCACTTTTGGCCCGCGTCAAAAATTATTTACATCCGGTAGTCGAAAAAGTATATAAAATTTGCATAATATAAATATTTACATCTGGTAGTCGAAAAAGTGTATAAAATTTGTATGTATATATATATATATATATATATATAAATTTTATATATTTTTCGGCTATTATTTTTACAGTGGCTATATAGTGTTATTTTTTCAATTTTGTTCACCAAAATAAAACGGAGACCATCATATGTGGTCTATTTGACTCTTTTTCAATTTAAAAAAATCTAATAAATAACTCTTAAAAATTAAAATTTGTATAAAAATAAACAAGTAATCTTAAATGTTGCTTGTCAATCTCATTACATACTAGGGACCTCTCGACCAGTAAAGGAGCCAGAATTATTCTTTAAGGGAGGTCAAAATATAAATAAATAAGCATATGAAAAAATAAAGGGGAGTCAACATATAGTATATATACATAAAAATAAAATATTTAACCTATCTATATTGTATAATTTCCCGACGAATGGGTGTCAATTGACTCCCTTGCCAATGAGTAGCTCCGCCATCGCTCGACTCTCAATTTATTTTGGTTTTATGCTTACTTTTATTAGTAAAAGTTCTTTTGTCTTGTTTTATGTTAGTTTTGATTTATAAAATTATAGTTCTATTACAAGTATTTTAATTATTTAGGTAAATGTTGTGTAGTTTGATTTAAACACCTATTCATCAAAAAAAAAATTACCTACTTCTAAAAATTTGAATACTCTTGACGAGATTCGTGGCTACACCACTGTATGAAACTATTATCTGCCGGGCCCCATTTTTATGATCCCTTTCTTTGTTTTTGATTGTCAATCGAGATATTGTAAAAATTTCTTCAAGACATAAAGAAAATAGGGAAACAAATTTAGAGGGGAATATCAACATCTCCAAATGCATGTTTTCTTAACCTATTTTTCTTTGACATAAATCGAACCCAATTCAAGACAGTAGTTAATGCAAATTATTTTGGGTGAAGTTCAAAAATAACTATTTTATGGACTTTTAATTGAAAATTCGCCATATATTCAAAAGTCATTGAAAAATTGCAAATTTTTGAAAATTTATGATAGTGTTATGAATTTTGAATTTTAAAAAGTGAAACTCCATGGTAATATCCGGTACAAAGGTGGATACATGGAGTTTTACTTTTTTTAAAGTTTGAAATCTATGATGCTATCATGGTATTTTCACATTAAAAAGTGGCGATTTTTAAAAAACACTATCTATTTTTCCAAAAAACCGATCTGAAAAATTGCTATCCCATACAAATTTTACAATCATTTTTGCACCACTTGACCCAAAAGTCCATGTGAATAGGCCCATACTGCATCCAAAATCACTCCAATAGGAACACAATTTCTCAAATTAAAAATTGGGATGTGAGGTTAATCCAAGTGAATGAGAATATCATATAGGATAAGCCATTACGGTTGAATCATTTTAAAAACATGTTTATATTAAATCCAAATTAATTATCACTAATGTGCACGACGTGACCCTTGATAGGAGGGTGTGAAGATCGGGGATTGGAGTAGTAGCTTAATAAATAGTTGAGCATATTTCTTTTCCAAACATGCACTTCTTTTTCATAGTACTAGTGTTATCCTCGTGTTCCCTATTTTTAGATCTCTATTATTATATGATGTTTCCTTTGTTCTTTTTTGGCTGCTGTTATTGTTTCTCTTTCCGTAGTTCTTTGTCATAACTGTTGTGATTTTGCTTTTATTGAGCCGAGGGTCTACCAGAAATGACCTCTCTACACAAGGTATGAGTAAGATCTGCAAACATACTACTCTCCTCATACCCACTTGTGGGAATACACTTAGTATATTATTGTCGTTTTTATTTGTTGTTGCACAGGTGCGTAAAATAATACTACCAAAAAAAAACTGAAATTAACTACGAACTTCGTCGTTAAGCTGCCGTTAAATCACTGGTAGCTAACAGAATCTTTGATAATTTGTCACTAATTCGTCACTAAGTAAGATTAGTGACAAATTTTATTATTTAATTATAGAATTTATCGGTCGCTAATTTTTGTATTTTTTATAGTGTAATATTCTTTAACTTAAAGTCTTGAATCTTGCATCTACTATATCCAGACGACATCCAATATCCTATGCAATATCTTTAAAAATTATCATAAGATACTGACTTTATGGTCAACTTAATGCTAGAAGATAATTTAAGATTATTTTTCTCCTTAAAGCATTTTGTGTCGTCCACAAAACTAAAGTTCCACATTTTCAGCATAAATAGAAGATTGAAAATTTACAAAGATCAAACTTTATGATTTTTCTCCAATAAACCACGTGCAGACCATTGGAGTTGGAACTATATTTTAGAAAATAATGTAACTAAGTGACAAAATAGGACAAATAAATGTCTCAGATCCCATTAGTTTGAAGCTGCCCATAATAATCTGTCCCCAGACAAAGGCTAAAATGTTTGCAGAAGAAAGACACACAGTTCCTAAGTATAATACATCCATATCCCTTTTTCTTTTCTTTTTATTTTAAATGGATTAGTTGTTATTCGTAATGGATTAGGCGAATATATAATATATGCATAATTTATATATAATATATATATAATTATATATAATCATGTATAATCTATATATACCGGCTAGAAAAAGTAAATAGTAAATCTTAACGACTATTTTGTGTACAATTAATTCCTTATATATATCGACATTGTAAAGCGTTTTATACAATAAGTGAATTTTAACATGTAATAGCATGTTACTTGCTATTTTTATCATATTATCGATTAATATTTATCAAGTAATTTACTTGTAATTATCTAATAAGTCAACTTTTTACGTCGTTAGTGAATAAAATTTAAACTCTTTTTGTCTAACCATCCCAAACAGGAGTGGATGTAACCTTTCGTCTACGGGTTCAACTGAATCCATAACTTTCGATACGGAATATGGATTTAGATATAAAAATCTACTAAAATCTCAACAAGTATTATATTTGAAACTATAATTTTAACAGTACAATGAGTTCAATACTAAAATCTTAAAAACTGAACTCATTAGATTTAAATCATGGATCTACCTCTGATCCGAAATGGGCAATTTCTCCATTCCCGAAGACTCCAATACGAGTCCTTTGATTAAGGGCGAAGGTCCTCTTAATTTAAGTGTCTTCCACTTCCACATAAATTAATGTATGCTTTTCTTTTGTCCAATTTTTGCATACCCAAAAAACTTAGAGAATTTTATTTGTTATATTACTATTTCTTTCTTTTACTATAATTTTCTTTTTGGGATGTCAGCTATGCCATCTTTCAGTCTGCATTTTTTCCATTTTATTGCATTGGTGGAACTCTGTATCAATACAGCCTTTTTTCTGATTTCTTATCCTCTTTCCATTCCTAGCTTTATCTTTCTGATTTTTAAACAAGATTCTTGATGAGGTTTTTTTCCTTCTTTAGGTATTTTGTTTTTGGTTTTTAAAATTTAATCCTCAATATTCAAAACTAATAACATTTGGGTCAAAGTACATTACACATATATATGTAGAGAGACTTGAAATATAAATATTATATTTGAATTCATAATTTCAGAGATAGTGAAATAGGTTTATTGATAAATTCTTAAAGGTCAAATCCATCAAATTTAAATTGTGAATTTGCCATTGGACATTAATAAAATAGGCAATTTCATACCACTCAATGGAGAAAATTGACTATCAAATATTTCAAATTAACTTTTCATACCAAGAACTTCTCATATGACAAACAACCAAAGAAATAATTGAAAAAAGTGAACACTATAAAAGAATTGGATTTTGAATAGAATTTCAGTAAATTAGAAAATCAACTATCTCAATCGGCTGCATGCATTATTCAACAAATTACAAGACTGCGAAAAGACCGTTCTTAGCTTCTTGACATCAGATCATCTAGGACATTTACTAATATATCCTCAAATTCTTGAGATCAGATCGTTTTGGACATGTACTAAGTTTGTTCTCAGCTTCTTAACATCATATCATCTTGAATATTTACAGATTCTATTCTAATATTATATTTGGGTCAAATTAAAAGATTTGGTAGGTGTTGTGGGATTTATGGTAATCAGGGGAGAAGAATGTATGGGGCAAGTTATGGAGGTTTTAGTTTCTCAATATATTTGCTACCTTTGTAGGATATAACATATATCTTTG